TAAAAAAGGTGTTTTTTACACTACCATTGAGAAATTTTAAACAAACTATGTTACAGACTTTTCATTAAGACCCTAAAGAATCCTATCAACTTGTGGAAAATGGGCATCCTATGACCCCTTTAAATTGAGCAGCTCCGGGAACTGACTGTCCATGCTCATACTAGACATGTGACTGATACTTTTACAGCACCCACTAACATACTGTTACATCACACATTTATGTACTCTTATATTTTCCTTTTATTACATTGCTTCATTGAGGAGAGGGATAAAGACCAAATGAGCAGCAAATGAAGTCATTTTGAGTGATATTCTCAAAGATCATTACTGGCTCATCTCATAGAGTTCACTCAACCGTCACCTTAAGTTACATGGGAATCGTTCCAGAGAACTCCCAGTTCAAAGATAGAGTTTTCCATTAAAAGATCCAATCTGCAGTGGCTGCATTTGATTAACATTTGGAACAGTGCCAGATGTGAATCACACTTGTCATTGTGCGAGACAGATGGGTGTATGATGTCATTGTTTTAAGTGGACTCATCATAGTGTCATCATAGAGCAAACAGCACAATGCCACCCTTTGAATGCTTTATTATGTCATATTTCCCATATAAGATGGGGGGGGGGGATCTGTTTGTTTATATTGCTCTAATTACTCTACGGTTCAAAAATTTAGGGTCAGAAAGTTTTTATTTAATTTATATAGATATATATTATTTTATTTGTTTATTTGTGAAGAAAAAAAAAAAACTTTATTTAGCAAATGGCACATTAAATTAAAAAGTTTTTTTACATTTTCACTGTTAGTCATTTGGCAAACACTCTCAATAAAAGAAAGCTGATTCACCAACCCACTATGTAAAGCTCATTGTCTGCAGGCATACAGCCCGTGCTGAGTGTGTAGGGTGTGCATTGCGGTTTCCAGGTTACCTGAGGCATCACTAATTCCCTAGAGCCATTGCCAAGAGAGTGAAGAGAGAGCCAGTGCAGATGTGTGGGATGCATGTCAAATCTCTATCCTGTTGGACACACCTGTCAGCTTTGTCTCTCTCTTATTGCTTGTTCCTTTCTTTTATGCCTCTCTTGTGCCCTCTTCAGAACCAGTTACCCCATGAAGCGCATCTGTGTCTGTGAGAAAGTAAAATAGAGACGGACATGTTTGCACACATTAATGAATTCCACCAAGAAGGCTGAAGAG